ATTTCATTAGATTGCAAAGATTCCTTAGAGCTTTTATTATTGTTTACTTTTTATTGAGATAATAGCTGAATAATGTTTACCTAGTAAATAAATTATTCAGCCAAGTAAACCGTTTTCTGTACACTCGAATATTTTTAATTTCAAAGACTTGAGTCAATCTTAATTATCTAAAAAAACAATTGAGAAATAAAGTATACACAATTGTGGAATGCAAAACAACAAAATATGGTATATACATAAATGGTAAATACATATATAAAATGAGTTGAATGGACTTATTTTGCGAAAATATATGCCATAAAAATTGTAAATATTGCATTTAATTTACGTATTCAATTGAAATACTTAACAAATATGATCAATACTCGATTTTCAGACATCGATGAGTGGACTTAGTATATTAAATATTCAATATTTACATATACCCAAACTAAATAACATGCATCTATACTAACTCACACACACACACACGCACCCATTCAACTTTAAGGTCAATTTGTGCTACGGCCCTGACTCTGATCTTCTGTATGTATTTTCATGTATTATTATTTTCTGTTCGCGTATAGATATTTAAATAGCATTTAAATTAGCAGCACGTATTAACATCGACTTCCTCCACACTCAACGCACCTCTCCTCCGAGTATCTTTTTGGAAAATACAATTTGTTAATATCAACGTGAGCGAGAGAGGGAGAGCGAGCAATCGTGTTCGCTCTTCAAATGAATAGGCTGCGCAATGCTCGCCTCCCTCCTCTATAAGCAAACAAGGTCGCTTGTTGTAACAGCTAGACTACCCGTTGCTCTCACTCTCTCATGCTCTCTCTTTGAATTACTCTCATGCATGGATCGCAGTTTGTATTGTAATTTTGTTTGATGGCAAAAGGCTCGCTCAATTTTAATTTTGGTTGCTCATTTTTGCTCAGGGTCAGCTCGAGGTTTTTTCAGCTCGTGTGTGTGTGCGCTTGCGTGTATGTGTATGTTTGTTTGTTTGTTTCATGGCACAATCGAAAAAATAATACTGTTGAGTTTTTGGCGCTCACTTAATTATCTTAGCTTTTAACTTTTTTTTTCCAATGTTTATTATCTGTTGTCATTGTTGTTTCAACTTTGAAGCCGTAGGTGGAGTTGCCACAGCCACTGCACTGTGTCACTTACAAATAGGCCCAAGCTGAGCGAGCGCTCTCTTTGTTTCTCTGCCTCTCTTTAGTTTTTTTTTTTTTTTTTTGCATGAAAATGTAGGCCAATGTCAACATGGTGTCACCGCTCTTGGGTGTTTAGGGTCGCCAGCTTTGTCAGAGATGGGTGCACGCTTTGGCTTTGTGGTTATATCAATTACATACGCTCACAGCAAGTTCGGTTCACTAGGGCTGGCAACGCCATCAACGCTAATGCCAACGCCAACGCAATGCCAATCGATTCGTGTGTCTCTCTCCCTCTCTGTGTCTGTCTTTTGTAATGCGATAGTAAATGGCAACACCATCAATTTTGAAAATTATGCAACTCTGCATTTGACTGCGATTGCAAGCGCAGAGCGCAATAAATAAAATGGAATTAGCATTAATTTGGAATGTATTTATTTTTTGTATGATTACAGAACGAAATTGCAGTACGAATCGCTGGAGGGCTCCATGATACTGGACGGTGAGGATGATACACTTAGCGACAAGATCGGCTGCCCACTGTACACGGCACCGGAACTGCTGTGTCCGCAGCCCACGTACCAGGGCAAGCCGGCGGACATGTGGTCATTGGGTGTCATACTCTACACAATGCTTGTTGGCCAGTATCCCTTCTACGAGAAGGCCAACTGCAATCTGATAACGGTAATCAGGCATGGCAATGTCCAAATACCAATGTCGTTATCCAAATCGGTGCGTTGGTTAATGCTCTCGCTACTGCGCAAGAATTACACTGAGCGCATGACGGCAACTCATATTTTCCTAACGCCCTGGCTGCGAGAGCAGAAGCCGTTCCATCTGTACCTGCCGGTTAATGTGCAAATTGCCGACGATTGGGATGTGGAAGAGGATCAGGATGGTCAGGAGAGCATGGAGGTGGGCGACATGAGTGAAGTCTGCCCACTGGTTGGTGAGAAGCCGGAAGATGAGTTTGACGACGACATCGGTGTGGAGCCGCTAGACTATACCCACACTACTTTGCAAATGGCCCAAACAAGCAGCTCCAGTTCTCTGAGCAGTTCAAGTGAAACCGATGCAGATGCTGACGAGGATATGGGCTGACCTAAGCCTGACACACAAAAAGCCACTGGAAGCTCGCTCTCTCGTACACGCTGGCGCGTGATCTTGATTGAATTCAAGATTCAATTCTGTGGACCTCTCTCTGCATGAGGCGCATTGATTACCTGCGCTCTACGAAGATAGCCAGGGCTAAGGCGGCCGCACTCTTCACGTCAACATCCTTCGCGAAGGTGTGATGCTCACCTTCGACACTCGCACTCAAAAAAGACTTTGTAGCCTCGCTCACCTTACACGTACACAAAAAACAAAAAACAAAATCACACACAATTAGTAACTATATAAACACTCTCACTGCCTTCCAAAACAGTAACGAATTGTTAGACCGTTCTCTACTCGAAGAATCCTTTTAATTGCTTCATATGTAAGAATCCAAATTCGTATGCGAATCGTCCTCGTAACTATTGCAACTGCAACTGATTCTTCCTAATAGAAACTTATGTACAATACATAAATTAATATTTTGCTGTAAATTGTTGGATCAATTTGATGGAAAGCATTATTTTCAATGTTTACAATGGCAATGAATGCAAATTGTTATTTATTATATAAATACATATATATATATATATAATTTTTTTTTTAATTTTTGCGCATATTATGATGAATGATAGAAAGAAAAAAAAAGTGAAAAATTATGAAACGAATAAAAACTTTGATCTCACTTTGAAAAAAAACCTATTTTATCTTTTACTTCAAATAGTTTTTAGACATTTTTATATGTACTTCTATACGCAGAATGTGTTTTTGCCATAAAGCTTTTAGTCGATCATAGTTGGGGCTCTGAATATTTCGACTATTGCCTTAATACTACATAATAAAATAATATTTTGGGATATGCAAATACAATATATTAAGTTAATGAAAGTCAATTTTGATTGTCGTCATACGTTAAATTTGTTAATTTACTTATCTAATGAAAAGCATTTCCTAATAGTCATTCCTGCTTAATTATATCACATTATTTTAATATGGCTACATAATATTTTCCTAGTCATTGTCTATTTAGCTGATTGCCCAAGTATAATTTTGTGGGAATATCGAATGTTTCAGCACGTGGGAAAAGTTAATCTATTGATAAGAGCCTTATCAGTAGTTATTTTTTAATGGAATCTCACATGATGTCATAAAAAAAAGAATAATAATAATACCCTATCAAAAACGAGAACATGTTCTCGAAATTCGTATAGGCGAATCTGAAACTATAGCAATTTATAACAAAGAAAAATATACAGACACATACATACTTAAAAAATATTCGTAAAAAAGGAAGTGTTATATAGATGCAGAGCTTAATGTAATAGAAAGGGGTTTTTTATTTAAAAAAGAAACCAGTTAGACATAAAAAAAACCCTCCTGAATATTTAATTCAACCACCATTCAAACGAGACGAAATTGACTGAATTTGTGAAATACCAGAAAAGACGTAAATACAAATGTAAACATGCAATAAGCATTACAATAATATTTTCTATATTTTTTATCAAAATTTCCATTAATACAAGTTGCCTAAAAACAAATATGTTTACTAACTATGTATTTAGTTAACGACGCAATATGCGACCCAACGTAGTGTCGACGTGCCAACTTCTACGTAGCTAGAAACGTACTTTAGTCATCACATACATATATACATACATACACACACATACGTATGAATGTAGATAGTATTATAAAATTGGCGAGAGAATTTCGTAAGAACGTTAAACCTGCAGAGAGTAACGTAGGCGCCATGGCCTATGTGATAGCGACAACTCTCTTGAGTTGAAAATGTCAGAATACTTTTAATTATGTGTGGTTGTACTTCTAGAACATTGTAGATAATATTTTGGAATGTTTAGGAAAAAAATTAAAGATAATTAAAGCGCATATAAAATCTGAACATTTTCTGGGTAATTCTAGATCTGTATTTATTAGTTTACAATCAAATTTAAGTTTTGTATTGGTGGTTTTCAAGAACTGAATAGGTGAATTAGCTTAAGAATCAACAAGTTATGCAAATCATTGCAAAAAATTCCTCTTAGTTAACGGCTAGCATCGCAGACGACAGAGGCATGTGCTTTATTTTTGGTATTTAGCGCAGATGTATCTCTCTAAAGTTCTATCACTAATTAGAGAAAGACTGTGCTAAATAACTCTAAGCGCATTGATGTGCACAGACAACACTCGTGTCTTTTGGCTGGTTTCACAACCTGACATTTAATTGATTGGGTTTATATGGCGGGGGTGATTGATGCGGAGCACACCTATTAAATAACATTTTATGCACAGTCTTTATAAATAACTTATGTACATGTGAAAAGATAGGCAGCCATATAAAAAGTAATAAGAAAATATTTAAATATAGATATATTTATATCTAAGAAAGCTTCCTTGTCCGTTACGCATTTAAAAAGTTTGAATGTAGCTTCGATTTTGTTGATTTTTGACAACTATCGGTCTATCGATACATTGCGCATAAATATATCGAATACAAAATTTGACTATTGATAACAGAAAATGTTAATATTTGGTCGCTGTTATGCATTTAGCAAGAACCAGACTACAGAGGGTCAGAAGGAAGGTGCTTTTTAAGAAAAATTGACTAAATCCCGTGTTTACCAGTTATTATTGTGCGTATGATGTCCATAGCCGGGAAGAATACCAACTACACGTCCAACCATTACACAGTTATAAATGCAAGGCATTACCAAACAACGTCAATTAATGCTGTTGGCAATGATTTAAGCAACTCAAACCAACAAAATGAAGCTCATAGATCTAAACATCGACTGCCTTTTGCGAATTTTTAAATATTTGTCTGAACGCGAACTAATTATCTTGTGTGAGGCGAACAACTATCTCAAAGCAGTCATCGATCAGAACATATTCTATACCCTGACAAAGGATTTGCTACTATGTGGACATAGAAATAAACCTTGTGTGGAGCTAAGGTAATATAGCTTTTGGTACGGAAATCAAGTTCGAATTGGATTGCTTATTGTGTTTTCCAGGAATCCAACACAACTAAGTTATCTGCGGCGTTTACAAATAGCTAGAAATTGGCTTAAAGGTGTCTATGTGGAACGACATTATTACCACCATGCGCAGATGTTCGCCTCGAAGCTTTGGTTGGACTCGGACGCATTGTATATAACACACGCGAATTATTTGCGCAAATATCGTCGGGCTGGTCCCGAAGCACTGCTGCGGCGCTACGAGGAGGAGATCAGCACACACACCTTATCGGATATATCGGACTTTGTAAAGAAGCAGGACACCATCTTTGCCGGACGAGTGTGTGGCACCTGCTTCGTGAAGGATGCCGATGATATTACTGAGGAGCCAATGCATCATGCCAAAGAGTATTTGTATTGTGTGGACTTTGTGGACGATGTTTACGCGACCAGCACAGACAACTGCTGTAAGCTGTGGAAACGTTCCAAAGAGTTTGGATTATCGCATTTTGATCTGTTTATGCGGCTGGAGCATTCGTTTAAGTCTATGAAGCTAAGCAACGATGGACAGTGGCTCTATGGAGGCTTATACACGGATACAGGCCGCAGGGCATTGCGCGCCATTCACGTGGAGAGGTAGGTCATCCTGTCCTATATATATCATACATTTTCTCTTATATATACTCTATTTTCCAGCGGCGAAGAGCTTGTGTTCAACTCAAATACCATTTCCATTTACGATCTAAAGCTAAAGGACGATCAAGTGATATTTACTGCCAACTTTGATACCACATTTCGCATGTTTGATCGTCGCACGGATCGTGATGTTTCCATATGGGAGGATCCCTTTGACTCATCTATCTACTGTCTCGAATATGACGGACTCTATGCCGTGCTGTGCGGCGCAAAGCATCACAGTCGTGTTAATCTTTACGATATACGGGTGCCTGGCAAATATATACAGCTGTACTTTCCGGGCCGCAACACTGGACGGCAACAGTACAGAACTTCGCCGGTCTATAGCCTGGCCTGTGATAGCCAATACTTGTTCGTGGCCACGGATCACAATTTGCGCGTCTTCGACTTTGGCACGAACTATGCAGTCCAACGGGATTACAGTGATTTTCTTGATAGCATAAGATAATGAAACACAGTTCTAGTCTTACAATAAAATTAAGTAGTTGCCCATGTGGATGAACGCATTTAAATCATTAAACGTGTTACGTTGTTGTTTACCCAGTTGATTATTTATATTTTATTAGCATTTGCACTTTGACTTTCAGCTTAGAGAATCCGGATTGAGATAAAATTTCGATTAACAATTTGCATTGACCAGCTTAATGTAATAGAAGACAAGGTAAAATCTTACAATAATAGACCACAAACTTAAGTTAAACAAATATACCTTAAAATTCACTGAAAACATATCTCTATTTTTCACATAAACAAAATTGTATTAAGGTAAAAAAAAACTTAACTGTAACATTGCATATGCATGCAGTGGTATTGTTTTATGAGCAATTTCTTGATTTCCTCTCTCAAGTAGTTTGAGATGGGATTACATTTGTCATATCAAATTTAAGAGAATATATTTTATGCGTTCAAGTATATCGTAATACTTTCATATATAGTATGTGTGCTTAAATTTATGGTTTTAGAAAACAAATCTCTAGAGCTACCTGACGTCCAATAATAACGTGCGAAAATTTACTGCTGGCCTTCAATTGTTCATATTATTATAACAGTTATTTATCATAAATTGAAGCCTTAATTTTGTTGCGTTTTAACAGGCACTTCATCAATTCAGTTATTAATTACAAATTTCATCAATATTTGTTCCATTCACACAATTACAATTTGTGCATCATCTACGAGTGTAATCTTAATCCAAGTGCGAAAAATATCGTTAATAGCGAGAAAATGCGCCCAACTGCATCCGTTTGTCAAAACCCATTTGTTCAGTTTCAATATTAATTTTTCTCAGATGCATAGGTTATTTATATGATACAGTATTTGATATTCAATTCAAACGAAACGACTATCTGGTTGTGCTATCATTTGGCTTATCTGCGGCGGTTGCTGTACTTTCTTTGGACGGCTCCGCGGCACATTGTTGCGGCGTTGTGTTTGGCGGCGGCGGCGAGTGATCCAGACTTTCGTTGAGCGCTGCAGCCAGCTCCCCATTGAACTGCAGCAGGCAACCCAAGGCACCGAAGTAGCCCTCGTGCTCTAAAAACAGACCCTTCATGGTGCCATTCGACCAGAACTCCATGGCGTAGGCAAGCAATTTCATCGAAATGGGATTCACGCGCAGAAAGTTGCCCACGAAGACGACCTAAAAGTTAGCAACAGAAAATGTAAATAGATAATCCCACATCGGAGACAGCTCGACTCACTTTGTCGATCTTTTCGTTGAGAGCGCACATTCGCGCTATAGAGCCAATGTTGTTGGTAATTGTAACTAGCGTAGCATTCGCGAGATCCTCCCTGGATACCGAGCAGCGTTTTTCGTTTATATGCATCTGGCCAAAGCTACAGTGAAGACGCAGAAATGTTTATCTAATCTATAGAATAGTATTTCATCGATTGCCTACCTAGAGGCCACTAAATCTCCTGTCAAGCCAAATCGACTGTAGTCACCTCCGTAGATGTCCTTGACCAGTTTATCCACCTTTCGATTGTCACCCTTCGTGGCCAATTGAATTGCTTCTTCGAATGTTGTGCAGCCAGTGAGCAGGCAGCACAAGCCTAGGAATGTACCACCTCCCAAACTGCAAAAAAATAATAGATTTTAGTCAGTTTATATAGAGATTGTTGGCCTTAAAGACTGCTTACCTAGTGCCAGAAATGCGTTTGTAGTTGTCTGGGCCGTAGACGGCCAGAATGGATACGCCAGAGCCGACATTCACCAGGATGAAGGGAAATGGTTGTGAGAAATTAAAGGCACGCTTTTCGGTCTTACTGCAGGTGAAAGGAAAGTTAAAACGAAAATCGCCTATAACAGCTGATTGGAATACCTACGTAATTTCTCTGGCATTCTCGTAGTAATAGCATTCAGTAGCATTGTGCATGTCCGCAAAGAGTATGCCCTTAATGAGGGTGTCCAGCTCATCGAATTTGGCCAGCTTCATGTTGACCTGATCTCGAAAGTCCTTCTCAAACTTGAACGCACCGCCGCCGGTGGCACAGACCGTGGTCACCAGCTCGGCCATGCCCTTCTGCTTGGCCAGCGACAGAAAGTTGCCCATGTCTGTGGTCTGAAAGCGGATGAAATGGAGAGAGCCCCGTCGCTTTCGAATCTCCACATTGTCCATCTGCAATGA